ATATAATTATGAATTATATATACTCTTTTTAGTTTAGCAATACTACAACAAATATTATTTCCTCGCCAATGTTATTTAAAAAATATTCTTAGATTCTAAAAATGCTCAAGTTATTTTAAAAGCAATGTTAGAGTTTGACGTTGCTGTCATATCAACAAAACAAATATAATATTAAGGCTGACAATAATATATTTAAAAAGTTGGTAGTTGTTTCGGAGTCATCTTTTTGATTAATATAATAACTAACTAACAATTTCTTAGATTGCCCTAAACTATAATAAATTATAATATTTGAAATTTCCCTCATAAGTTCTTATTCAGGGTTTTACATCTATACTATACATTTACAGTATACAACATATATCTTTTTTTTTGTGGTGTCGTAAATATAATTATATTTCTTTTAAAAAGAGACATTTAGATGTTTAGGTTTGCCTAAAAATACTGTATAGCTTTAGTTTAGACATATATGTGGAAACTGGTATTTCAAATCTGTCTTTCTAAGTAACTATATTATATATAAGTTATTTATCATGATGTCTATCAAGCTGATTGACATCATGATGAGTAACTTCAATGAAAAAAAAGACTCAATTTTGAAGGTTATGGGTCATTTTTCGATAAAGTATTGCATTTCTTTAAAAAAGTTTTTGGGATTTTTAAAAACCAGGCCATCTCTAGCCAAATAAAAAGTACGAATTGAAGGGGTATTTTTGCTTAGAGTTAACTTTACCTAAACCTAGCCTGAAAATAAGCAATGCATTTAAAAAACTTAAAGCTAAACCATAACATCACTGCTGGTACTAAAACCTATAAATTTTGCATTTCTCAATCACTTACTCAGACAGTTAACTTTGTGACTCCTTTTCCAGACTACGCTGTTAACTTAACTTCACGTCTTGATTTGTGTCTTGTCTCTGACCCTTACAGATCAGATTGAGATTTTGAGGTATAAATGATGGATTGAATAAAAGTTAAACTCAACTGAAGATGGTAATGATGGTAAAGTAAGTCCTAGTGATAGTGATTACTTGCCTAAATTTTCTTTAATACATTTTACAGTTTCTTGCAAATGTTTAAAAACAGTTTAGTATTTTTTAGTTTAATCCATAATTTGTTAAAAATGACATTCACAAATTACATACATAAAGCTAAGATTTAATTTATATTATATACTTACGCACGATTTTAATATTATATGATATTGTCTAATCTATTATCAATCTGAAAAAAACGTTATAGGAATTCAAAAAATTAAAACAAAAATGATGCCATTGCAAAGGCATCATTTTTGTTGGCAACATTAGCAATTTTGCATTTACATCATTAGTGTAATCACTCATTCAAACAATCCATCATTCAATCAATTATTCAGTCAATTATTCAATCAACCAATCAACCAATCATTCAATCAATCAATCATCATTATTGCCAATCAATTATTTAATCAATCATTCAATCATTTATTCAGTCAATCATTCAATCAACCATTCAACCAATCGTTCATTTATTCAACCAAACAATCCTTCAATCAATCAATCATTATTTTGACAATTGCATCATCAGCAGTGATATTTTTGTTCGGAAAATAATTTTAGTTTTAGTTTTTATTCAGTTCATCTTAAAATAATTTTAGTTTTAGTTTTTATTTAGTTCAATTTTCGTTTGTCGTATAAATTTTTTATCTCATCTAATTATAATTTAGTATAATTTATAAATAATATAGACATATATAATTTAAAGAAGTAAGTCTTAGTTCTATAAACAAACAAAAAAATGAAAACTTAATTAAATGTAATATACCCAGTCCCATGGCTAGAAGTTTAGAGCCCCGCCCACCGCCCTTAATAAAAAACACAACAACAACCTGTCCTTATTGCTCTAAAACTTATAAAAGTTTCAATTATTAGGTATAAAAAAAACTCCTCAAATTTGGTAACAATAAAAACTAATGAATAATTATTGTATAGACTTTAATAATTACTCATATATTTTACAAATAAAGGGCCTAGTGATTATATGATTATCATCTAGACTAGATGAGAATTTAGTTTTAAGAAAACTCGCATTTCCAATGACGCTGACATTCGATTTCCCCGTCCATTTGTGAGCAAGCCACAGATTGAAAAAAGTCTTTCAACATATGCTTGAGTTGCAGGAGCTGCAATGAGGTCTTCAGCTAATGGTGCAATATGTGGGTAAACAGCACGTCTCATCTTCCAGAAATTTAAAGCATTTTGGCACATAGAGCTGTTCCTTATTTCAATAAAGTATTTGTTGAGTTCATTTTGTGCTTCATTACCTGGAATAAGCTTTATTTTTTCTACTCGCTGTTTTGCCGCTAAAAATTTCCATTTTGTTAATCCATTTATTTCTGGAGCAATCTCAACAGAAAGAGTAGATGCACTTGCTAAAGGTAAATCATGTTGCACCGATTTTTTTGCCTCTGACAAAATGTATTTCTTTGCACACTCTCTGATTTGTGTATGCTCATTACCTAAAAGAGCTATTGCACATGTTGGGTCAAGTAGACATGCGGCACATGGCAGTGGATTAAAATTAGGATTGTTTGGCTGCAAAAGAACGGCAAAACGACGGCGTAGATCTTCAAGCATTTTAACTGCTACATCTTTGGCATCTCCAAATTGCTCAAGGTGATATTCTAAATTAAGTATTGAAGGTATAACACTGGATAGTGAAAGTGCATCCGTCTGAAGAATATCAGTTTCATTGGCAAAAGGTTCTTAAAGATTGACAAAATCCTGAAGCATTATCCATTCGCTATTGGCAAGTGAATTAATGTTAAGGTCTCCAAGCACTTCGTTGATAGATGTCTTTATTTCCAGAAATCTCTGAACCATAAAGTAAGTGCTGTTCCATCTTGTAGAACAGTCGCTGATCACAGCCTTACCACATTTGTTGATAATTTTTTCCAATGCAACAGAAGATTTGCAAACTTTTCCCACTAATCCACGTACCTTCAAAAGTAAGCCATGATATTTACCATCATATGCAAGTTTTACAACTAGCTGTATAACATGTGCAATGCATCCCAATCTTCTAAATGCTACGTTTTCTATTACATCAACTATCAAGTCAACATGTTCCAACTCTTCACTATTTGTCATATTCTCATCGTCTTCCAGATCTGTTATCTGCTCTTCATTAACCTCACTTTCTAATTCAATAAGTATATCACGTTCAGCTTGAGCTTTCATTCTCGACAACTTTATGCCTTTGACCATGTTTGCTCCATTGTCCGAAATAACAAGCAATATTTTTTCTCTGGAAATATTCCAATATTTTAGGCATTTTTCAAAACAATTAGCAATTTGTTCACCTGTATGTGGATGTTTCACAAGATACAAATTAAGCAGAGCATGTATTGGTTTTTCGGATTTGAAGTGAAAAAAACAAACCGAAATTCCTAAAAAGGACGCAGTAAGACCTTTTTTAGTTCAGCCATCAAGGCATATTGTGAAGCGCCTGCCTTCAGATATGAAGTCACGAAGTTTTCTCGTTAAAACAGTAAATTCTTCATTAAGTAGGCTAGTAATTTTGGCAGAAGCAGGCAATGAAAATTTATAATCCAAGGTATTAACTAACTTTCTAAAACTCGCATTATCCACCAATGTCACTGGATTACATGTTGCAATTATCATTTGAATAAGAGAGTTTAGTCGAATTTTATGCTCGTGTGAATTAATAGGCCATGCGGTATTCCTACGATTAATGCATTGAATCAAGGTCTGGCTCTGATTTGAGGACGATTCTAAAAGAGTGGGTCCATTTTCATCCACTGCTTTTCTCTTTATCCCTGTTTGCTTTATTTCACTTAATTTCTTTAATTCCAACTCTTCCAGCTCAACGTGTACAGACTTATGGTTTCTTGCTAAATGTAGCTAGAAAAAAATAAACATATTTATATAATTTTTTGTTTGTATATTTATATGTTTATTTATCTATCTGTTTATCAATTAATGTATAAATAAGTTCGTATACGTTATTGAATAATTACTCTAAAATGAAAAAAAATGAATCGTTTGTTTCAAAATGAAAACATATCCTCTAACAGATAAACTAACTTTAAGATTTGTTGGGTTCTTTCCACACAACTTTGTATTGCATACTTTTTCACCATCAAGTAAAACTAAACAAACTGATTTGTCGGATGACGCATCGTATTTAAACCATTTCCATACTGAACTATTCCTTTTCCTACCAGCAAAAAGTTTACTCAAACTCATCGCGTAGTTGTGTTGGTCTTACAGTTTGATTTTTTTTAGTTCGAAAAAATATATTCGAATAAATATATTCGAACTATATCATAACTAAACTTATTCGAACTTAATTGAATAAAATTCAATTAAGTTCGAATAATATATCATTATAATGTATTGTAATATAATAATTATATATATCAAATAATTCAACTCGTTTCAAATCTAGAACGAAAGAATTTCGTTTTAAAATAATTTTCGATTCAGTTTTTATTCTGTTCGAAAATTTAAAATTATCGTTTTTATTCTGTTCTCGTTCTTAAAATAAATTTCGTTTTAGTTTTCGTTTTCGTAAACAAAAGGCTTTTTTTTTCGTTCTCGTTTTCGTTCTCGTGTACGAAAATATCACTGATCATCAGTGATGAAAAGCCATCAGAGACCAGTTTTTATTAAACTAAGCAAGTCTAAATCTCTTTTATTGCAATGTATTGCCTCTCAACAGATTAAGACTTGCTTAGCTTAAAAACGGGTCTCTAATGGCAATGCAACTTTATTACTTATCATATTTATTATTTCAACTTTTTATTATATAATTATTTTATTATAAGAAATATTTTATGAATACAGTTTTTCTATCGTCGCAATCAGATGCATTTTAATTTAGTTATTAATTATTTTAGGTGGTCAACATTAATATTTTTTATATTATTATTTTTTATGTACTTGTGAGAAAATTGTTTAATTGCACATTATTAAATAAGTCGTTTTTTAATTTATCAGAACTAATTGAACATCACAACCCATATATTGGAGGAATATATTCCATTGAAACAACAGACCCACAATATAGAGTTGATCTTTTACCAGAGCATGGAGATCATGCTCGTGTTGTGATAAATAGCGCAGAAAAATTTTATTGTGTCGAAGGTATGATTTTTATAGAATAAAAGTTTTTTTACTTTAAGTTTTACAAAAACCATTAGGGAAAGGTTTTTTTAAGATGAGCAGTAGGGTTATAATACTTTTACAAACTTAATGAGTATGTCATTTTCTGATGAATTTTTGTAAAAAGTCAAGAGAAATTAGTTTTATTATAATAGCTCTAGAAAAATGACCCATTAGAAAGCCGAGCCAAAAGTTTAGAATCACATAACAAATACGACTAGAATTTCTTTTCTGGTAATTTAAAGAAAATATTTAAAAAACTATTATAGTTTTTTAGACATTTTAATGTTAAAAATGTTGAAAAAAACATAAAATGTTTAAAAATCTATTGATAAAACTACCATAACTAAAAAGGTTTGCTTTTGCTTTAATCGTGATTTGTTAATAAATATTTAAATATAAAGTTTCTTCAGACTTGCTAAGACTTTTAACATCTTCTAAAACTTTTACTGCTCGTTCGATATAGGCAAATGAATATCACAGCAAAAATTCGCGAATGTATCGATAGGTAATAAAAAATTAAGCGCATTTTTTTTGAAGTTATTCTCCACCGAGCTTTGTTTTGGTATTTCAAGAACGAAAATTGTTTCAAAATATAGTGTTGCAAACTTTCATAGAGATAGAAATGATTTATTATTGCTTTTTTTTTTACCGTTGAGATAATTACTTTTTACTTAAGTATAGTCTTTATAAATACAATTTTATTTAATTTTTGAACGATTATATTTTTGTTATTTTGAGTTTTTTTAGTTCTTTTAAAAAAAGCTCATCTTAAGAAAATGATTTCTTATAATTAGACAATTGAGTGTGTTGAAAGCAATGCAACTTTTTGGATAACTTTTGGGTTTTTTCAATGAACTATTTATTTAAAATATTCTTTTAAAAGAATAACTTAGTTATGATAATCTGCAAAAATAAACATAAATGTTATAATTTTTCGGCTTCAAAAAAACAATAGATTGTTAACATGCTCAACATACACAACCTTTCCACTAAATATTTTTCATTATTTAACAAAATCTAGTAAAAAAAATAATTATTATGACTTTCTAGCCGTATTTAAGATTACTAATTTTACTTAAAATCATTTTATTGTAACAGTATATTTTCAAGAAAATTTTTAAATTATCAAGTTCATATTTAATAAGGAAAGTTTATAGCATACATAATTGTTATTACCTAACAATTTAATAATATATTTATAATTATATAACTAATAATAAAAAGTATATTTGTTTTTATAATATAATTTATATTTATATAAATTTATATTTATATAAATTTTCTAAAATCGAAGTTCGTATTTGTAAATTTCAGAGGAAGAAAACATACATTGTTCATTTATGTCGTGTTATAAGATCCAATGATATATTATATAAACTAGATGTCCAACTTCAATTCGAAAAGTGAAGCCACTTTTTGCTTTTTTTACAATTGGCTGATTAAATTTGTAAACAAATTTTTTTATTTTTACTTTCTTTAAATGAAGTATATGCAATTTAAATTTAAATACTTTTAATATAATATAAGAATATTAAGTAATCAATAAATAAAACCTGTTCATTTTAATAAAACAAAATCACCAGCTTACTAGGAAATGACGTTGAAGTTTGAGTTAATGTTGAACGAAAAACTAATGATGATGTAACTGGATCAAGGGATAGTTAAAAATGGGTGAGCTATATAATCAAAAACGGCTTTTAAAGTAAATTTAAACTTTGCAATAAAGAAATTTAACGAATATTTACCAAAGTTTACATAATAATTTTACATAATAAACTGCTAAGTTTGCACAAATAAATTTAAGCAATTGTAACCAGTATACACCAAAAGAAATAATAATAAAAATGCTGAATATAATACATATTAAAAATGTTAGAATTAAAGTATAAATTTATTTTTTAACTCATATGGTCAAAAATTATAGAAATCTAAAATCTAAAAGAAATTCAAATCTCTTATAATGGAAAAACAACATAGGAGGAAGATTATAGGAGGTAACAACATTTATTAACATTATTAGAGAATGGGATTGTATGCAAGATGTCACTGAGACAATTAGAGAGGCTTTGAAATTAGAGAGTTTTGACCTAGCAAGTGGCACATCATAAAAATCTGCTTGCTCTGTAAAACATCTGGGTAAGAGTAAAAGATTTTTGAAATCTTCTGCTAAGATGTTAACAATTTGTTAACAAAGCCACTATTAAACACATTTTTAATGCAAATTTTGTATTATAAAAATTATCACTTAGTTGTTGTCCATGTATTAGTTTATCAAATCAGTCATATTAGAAAATATGACTGATTTGACTTCATAAAATTTAGCGAATGCGCACTTTTATATTTTATCTCTAAGACTCCGTTCGCGAGTTATTTCGTCTTGAATTGCCACATTTTGACCCTCCTTGAAAAAGCATGGTTCTAAAGTAAAATATTTTTTCATGATAATTTTTGGATTAAATTTTTACTTTATTGATAACTTTTTTTTTTATATGTTTTCTCATTTAGATTTTGAATTCTAGTTGAATTCTAATTATCACTTAGTTATTGTCCATGTATTAGTTCTGCTGGATCTAAGCTAATTTTATTGAAGTATTGTGCAATTTTAGAATACCTTTGAAAATTTCTTTGTTTAATATATAACACTTTTTTATCATATATTTTACAAGTTTCACAAAGGATTTGAGTAAGCTATTTGACCGCGGGTTGTGTGGACTACTTGTTATTTGCTTAATTTACCACTGTTGAAAATTTCGATGAAACTATTTTGAAGTATAATGTGTACCATAATCTGAATTTAATTTCACCGGCACCATCTCTAGAAAATAACTCTTTGCACGCCTGTATTACATTTACTAATTTGGTATTTGAAAGCCGAAAAACTTCAGGTTGCAAGCTATAATAATCAACAATAAATAAAAAGCATTTGTTAGCCCACTGACACTTTACAATTTCAACCTTTTGTCATGTTTGCGTTGGAACTTTATAAGCTAACAGAAGTTCTTTTGACGTTTATCAAAGATGCATCATATATGGTTCGCACTTTTGAACTATTTGGCTAGAAAATAGCTTGACCTGCACAACGATTACATTTTTTATTCCAATGTGACTTTCGTGCATTTTTTAAAGTATTTCTTTCGGATTTTTATTCGATTTTAATACATCAAATTCATAGTCCATCAAGTTCATGAGTCCATAAATTTTGACTATTTCATCTTCAAAACTCCGGTGAGGCTGATGATTTGTATGACAATATTTTTATGAATTTCGTTAACCAGAGATTTTTTATTTTCTTTCAGGTGTTGTAAAAATTTATTTTACTCAGTTTTAAAATTGCGCAAATTCTTTTAATCGAATTTATGTAGTTGGTATATGTTTGATTATTGAATTAACATATACGTTCACATCATTTTTAGCAATTTCATTGCTTTTGTAAGTTAAGATATAAGAGCATGAGACGTTTCATCAGCATTCGTAAATGACTAGCCAGCATCATGCACTGCAGTAAATAAAAATTTAGTAATATCATTCTTAATTGTTGAATTTTTGATGAAGCATAAATAAATTAGCGACAATTTAATATAGAAATTCAAGGTTTGAGACCTGCTTCTAAAATAAAACTTGGTTTTGTAATTAGTATAATTCAAATTTAACAAATCAAATTTCACTTTTATATGCAATCAAAGCATTGTAAAATGAAGTTTAGAAAACTTTGTAAACAATATTAAAAGTTTTTTGTTATTTATTTTATGTTGTGTTTTTTACACAACTTATAAAAATTATCTATAATAAAATTGAATTAAAAATAGCCTAGATAAGAATTGGTTGTGTTTTTGCAGCATTTACAAAAAAGGTATTCTATATCTCTATATTTGAAAGATAAAAATATGCTTTTAAATTCAACCAAAAGACTCCCCAGAAATTCTGAAAAGACATTAGGTTCCGTGCCAAAAAAATGTTATTAAAAGCGTAACGAACCAATAGGTAAACAGGGAAACAAAACATAAGGCTCAAACTATTATTAGTGACTGGCTAAAAGTTTAACATTTATTGCTAGTATCGAGGTGTTTAAAAAGAGAATATTTTATGTGGATTTTTTTTTTTGTTGTTGTTACTTTTTGATTGAAACATTTTTAAAATACATTTTATTAATTACTTTTTTAAATGCAAAGGCGCCATTCTGATATGCAACAGGAACAATTATACTACTAAAACTGTACCTCAATTTTTAACAGTTGTTGGCTTTGTTCCCCCTCAAGCTTTTCTGTTACACCTCCTTAGAATAGATGTAAAAAAAAATCATTATCTTTAAATTCTAGTTTTCTTAACTCAAAAAAACGGGTATTTCTTTGTATTTTACTTTATAAAAAAGGTTAGTTTGGATGGGTATCCAGTTGATATTTTTAAATTATTCAAAATTTAGTTCTCATTAAGAAAATGGTGCATTGAAAAGCTGCACAATTCAAATATTAAACTAAAAACATTTTAGTAGAATAATTTTATTATACAATTGTATTTATTTGATATTTTCGTAATAAAAAATAAAAAGCACTAAAGAAATTAAACTTATGTTGTGTAAATATTGTACCTGAAGAATTATGAATTGTATTTTTTTTAAACATTCTTTTTTGAAAAGATATAGTCCTAACCTTGGCTAATCTCATTTTTTTCTGTTTGTTTTTAAATGCCATAAAATTTACAAAAATAAAAGTATATTAAAAATTGCAGCACTTAGCAAACCAATGAGACTGTAATATGTAAGACGCAGTGGGAACAAAAATGGCTATTTCTTAAAGATTATTCTAATTATCAATAATGTTTTTTTTACTATATTAGATATGATAAGACACTTTTTTTGTTCTTTTATAACAATTAGCAATATATATATATATATATATATATATATATATATATATATATATATATATATATATATATATATATATATATATATATATACTCTTGCATGTCTCTTGCGTAGCATCAAAAAAGATTTCCCATAAACTGTAGTTTTAAAGAGCGCGTTAATAAACCAGACCAGAAAAAGTTTTAAAAATTAAATTTTTTTTTTTAATTGATAAACTGCCTGGCCAAACCAAACCCTCAGTCGATGTAGCAGCACTCTCTTGCGAGTCAGGCTATTTGTCAGTCGTTGTAGCAGCACTCCCTTGCGAGTCAGGCTATTTGTCAATCGATGTAGCAGCATTCCCTTGCGAGTCAGGCTATTTGTCAGTCGATGTAGCAGCACTCCGTTGCGAGTCAGGCTATTTGTCAGTCGATGTAGCAGCACTCCGTTGCGAGTCAGGCTATTTGTCAGTCGATGTAGCAGCACTCCGTTGCGAGTCAGGCTATAAGATAGTCGATGTAGCAACATTTACGCATGTTTAAAAAATGTTTTTTATTAAATCAATAACAAAAACACCACTAATTAAAAAAAACTTCCTAGTCGTTATAATTGCGGTTTTTTAAAAATTTTTTAAAAAACAATTAAATTTAATGTACTTCCGCATAAATTAATTGCTTTGACATTTTGATGACAATCAAAAACAGCTTAAGAGACGAGGTAATTAAAATTGTAGTCGTAAGAGACTTTTTTTACATTAAAATGCTCTTAAAGCGACACTATATGAGTATATATATATATATATATATATATATATATATATATATATATATATATATATATATATATATTATATATATATATATATATATATATATATATATATATATATATATATATATATATATATATATATATATATATATATATATATATATATATATATATATATATATATTAAAAACCTTTATTTGATAATAATTTTTATTTAAAAATAATTATTTGGTATATGTTTTGTTAAACAGCTAAGAAGTTTAAATTTTTTGAACATTTTTTTTTTATTATATTTTTTAGCACTTAATGGAAGAAATGATTCAGTTTCATTTCAATCTGCAACAAAAATAAACTGCTACTTGCGTTATGAAAATGATAGACTAAAAATACAATCTCCTTTTAAGATGTGTACAACTTATTCACATTATCAAGACGATGCTTCTTTTGTTATTCGCAATAATACATTTTATCCAGGCTATGTTTCCTTTCAACGATCAAAAAGTCCTATCGATATGGTAGAGAGTTATTTTTTCAGAAATGATAACAATACTTTTATATTTTTACAACCTCAACAAGATCTTGATTCTTACAGACGTGATATTAGCTTTAAACTGGAGAGGCTTGGAGTTTGTAAGTACAATTTAAAAAAACTGCTCATTTTTTTGAAGGAAAGTTTTAACACATTACTTTTTGAAAATAGTGCTGTATTTAATTAAAGCAACTGTTAAAAAGTAACTTTAAACAAAAACAAATTTAAAAAAATATGTAAATATACTAAACTGCAAATTTCCTACATAGTTTATTCTTCTTCTATGTACCATTCCAATAGTTTAGAAAGTTACATGACATAACGTCATATAACTGTCGTGAAGAAAAAGAATTCATTAATTTATTACTAGTTATTACTAAATTTATTACTAGTGTTGGGACACGTTTGCTCCATACAGTTTACAATGGGAGGTTTAAAACCATTTACTTTTGAGAATATTTGTTCAGACCAACGAGCAATTAATTTAGAGAATTTTTTAAATAACTTCTGCAAAAAGAATTTGAAAATCTTTAATTTTGTAGTCATTCTCTAAGCTGCAAGGGAATAAAAGATTTAGAAATGTCTCTACTCATTTAACAAAATTTCATGAAATTAATGAAAGTAATAAACTAGTTTGACAACTTGTTAGATTACTTTAAACAAGCTCTAACGAATCAAAGAGTTCAATGGTAAAGTAAAAGATATATATATATATATATATATATATATATATATATATATATATATATATATATATATATATAATATATATATATATATATATATATATATATATATATATATATATATATATATATATATATATATAGTATATATATATATATATATATATATATATATATATTATATATATATATATATAAATATATATATATATAT